AAAATCCATACCGTGTACAGGTTCTGGGAAGTTGGGGGGGGGAAGGAGGAGGGAGGTCAGGGGGGAGGATGGAGGGGGGGGGGGGGATACATTAGGCTAGACAAGAATTTGGTGGTAAACTAGAACTATTTTGACACACAAAAAAATTGTACTCCAATGTCTTACTGATTGAGGAATGATGAAATGTTTGTTTTAAAAGAAAATAAAACTTTTGAACCCCCCCCCCAAAAAAAAATTATCAAAGATATCAAGCAATACATATACACTTTGACATAATGGTTAGCCATGCACTGATTATTTCCATGTCAGATTAATTAAACCGATAGCCATCTCCAGATCAGAAATATTCCACCTTTGTTATAACTTTTTGGATTTCTAATATTTTCAAGGTATCGGATTCTATTTAGGCTGTTTCTTATTTTAAACAAGAAAAAAAAAACAGCAATCACAATTTCAGCAAAACCTAAATATAGTCAGATCTATTTATGCAACCTTTCCCAAATACTATATTCCTCATTTATCTAAATCAATATTGCCTATAAAGCCACATGACTGAATTTACAAACTAATTTCATTCAGTTTCTTGGCTTCTGCATTACCTACCTATAAAATCAACCATGCTCCTTTTTCAGAAAGCTCTGATAAGAAATGCTTCTTTTTGTTACAAATTTAAACTGGTTTCATCCTTTGCCGAAGCCAGTTAGCATCTACATCTGTACCATTATGTTTGAGAGATACGTTTCACGTTTTTGAGGTACAGTTAAGGCTAGCAAGTCTGCCATTCAATTTAACAGAACTCACCACTTATTAATTTATTCTCCTATTAATATTTTATTTCAATGTTTTTAAAATATCAGAAAGGAGCAAACTGAAAATCTGTGTTACTGAAAATCCAAATGTTAAGCAACGTTTAATTGTAAATTCCTAGCATTTAAATGCAAAACAAGGCAGAGAGAAAAAAATAAAGGGGAAAATAATATATCACAAAATACTTACATGGCATTGTATGGTAGATGCTTGGCCAAAATTGACCATTATCTCTCTTCATCCAGACCCGAACGGATCTACAAAGGAACAGAATAGGATATTTTCAGGTAATAATGGAAAGCATGTCAGAAAGAAAATGGAAAAGTTCTAACTACAAGAAGTTAATTATCAAGCCTTCTGAAGGAATGGAATGAGAATTGGTCCCCTTGTACTTTCTACAGGTAGTCCTTGACTTAAGACCACAATTGAGTCTAACATTTGTGTTGCTAAGTGAGAAATTTGTTAAGTGAGTTTTGCCCCATTTTACAACTTTCCTTGCCACTTTTGTTAAGTGAACCACTGGAGTTATTAAATTAATAACATGGATGTTAAGTGAACCTAGCTTCCCCATTGACTTTGCTTGTCAGAAGGTTGTTAAAAAGTGATCACATGACCTCAGGACATAGCAACCATCATAAATGTGAATCAGGTGCCAAGCATTCAAATATAAATCACATGACCATGGAAATGCTGCAACGGTCATAAGTGTAAAAAATAGTAAGTCACTTTTTTCGATGCAGTTGTAACTTCAAACGGACACTAAGCCAACTGTTTGTAAATCAAGGACTACCTGTATTAAAGCAGAAACTCATCTAGCACTCAGTTGAAGCATCATATTGATCCTGCATTTTTTCCTCATTTTATTTTTTGAACTAATGACGTTTTTCCAGATTATTCTTGTTATCATACATTCAGTTACTTTCAGTCAGCCAATAAAAACAAACATACCCTAATTTTAATGTTGCATAAATATAGAAGGCTTTTTAAAAAATCTCTAGAAGAGATAAGAGTGGAAAGAAAATATTTTATTAGAATACGAAGAACAGAGGAATCATTAAGGAAAGTCCCTTGGCAAGCACAGGGAATACTTCTGCCCTTAATACTACTGATATGCTGTTTGTGTCAATATGAAGGTAAAGGTTCCCCTCGCACATATGTGCTAGTCGTTCCCGACTCTAGGGGGCGGTGCTCATCTCCGTTTCAAAACCGAAGAGCCAGCGCTGTCCGAAAACATCTCTGTGGTCATGTGGCCGACATGACTAAATGCCAAAGGTGCACAGAACACTGTTACCTTCCCACCAAAGGTGGTTCCTATTTTTCTACTTGCATTTTTACCTGCTTTCGAACTGCTAGGTTGGCAGAAGCTGGGACAGGTAACGGGAGCTCATTCCATTACGTGGCGCTAGGGATTCGAACCGCCAAACTGCTGACCATTCTGATCAAAGGCGCTGTGTCAATATTATGTTCTTTCAAACTAAAGCTTGGGCATTGTCAATGCTTCAGAATGATGTACTATAACTTATAAAGGTTTCATTTGCCCATCTCACATATACATACAGACCTGACTCTTCCATCACAAAAACTCATAAACAATGTTTTGCCGATCCAAATGACTAGATTTCAGAAAGCAGACATGGCTTACTTGGCTTTGCCTTGGCATAACTAATTGTATTATCATTGTAATGTTCATCCCTGCAGCATTCATGATTATATTTTCCCACTAGTGACTTGTGGCATCTTTCAGGGCCACGCAAAAGTAATTATGAGGACAGGCACTTCAGAGATGGTTGTATGGTGCAATGAAGGCACAACAAACCACTAGTAGTGAAATGGCCTAAACAAACAATTACAGGAAGAAGTGTTATTAAATTTTGGATCCAAGCAATCTACAATATTATGTGAATATTTGCAATAGTTCTTGGCATACTTATTAAATCAATTTGCTTAACAAAAGGACAGGGCCAAAGATAATATTCTAATTCTAATCTACTATTTCATTAAAATTTAACAAACACTAATAATAAAGAACCTTTAATGTCTAACAAAATGCTTCCAAATCCATTTACATGAAGGATGCTACAAATATCAGGTCATCTCTAGAATAGTCGGTATTCGTAGCCAGAGAGTCACTTCCAGTGACACAGGCAGCCATATAAATTTGATAGATTGAGGGAAGAGATGCAACATTAAAAAAAAGAAGAAGAAAGAATGGTGATAAACTCTTGTTTGTCTACCACTTTCCAAGATCTTTCTTTGCAGGCCTTCTCTACTCTTATCTTCCTTTGTTTTCCTGCTTCTTTACCTTTTTTTTCTTTTGCATATCTACCAGTCACAAGCCATTGGGAAAAGATAGATCCTAAGAATTATATTCAGTATTCAACATTAGCTTCTTTGCCTACGGTTGAATAAAGCAAACAAGCAGCTACTGGCTTCAGGGGGAGAAAAACAAAATAGGGGATTACAAACCAGAAAAACCAGTTTGGGGGGGGAATGGATATTATGCTCAGGGAGAAACTTTACTTAATGCCTGAGTACACACATCTCCAAAAACACGTCTCTGTAAAATTGTTCTGAAGGAACGAGCTAGAATCAAAAAATGATGCAGAAAGAAAACATCCTGTATATATTTCTCACCTAACATACTGACTGTTGAATGTTAATCAGCATATTTTGCAATAATTGCCATCTTTCATTTGTTGATGTCAAGACTGACTCGCACTTTCACCTATATTCTGCTTCGCTCGCAGCTTGACAAAGAAAAGGGAGAGGGATGGAATGGAATGCAAGGGAATGGCATCCAAGCATCATTGGTTCCCGTGAGACATTGCTCCCACTTCAAGGACACCCCAAGCAGATGTCACAGCATGGTCAGCTGGTTCCCATAACAAAATGAACAGAAGAGATTGGTGAACGTGGGTGGCCCATCTGGTAAGGGAGAATGAACTATGCGTGCTTTTACATGGGGAGCCCAGAGCTGCTTTTGCTTCTTCTGTGCCAATGTGGTTTATTTATACTTCTGGTAAAATAATACACCAAAAATTTTGTAGATTCGGCAACTGGACAGTTGACATTTAGGTTTATTGCAGTTTTCTCCAAATTGGTGTCCCATAGATGTGTGGGAAAGTAACTCCCAGATTCCCAGCCTGCTGAAAGCAATAGGTCAGCAGCCCCCAACCTTTGCAGCTTGGCAGCCTGGTTGGGTGAGGTGAAGTGGGAACCGGGCCGCATGAGTGACAAGCTGCTGCAGGAGTTGAGCTGTGTTCCTGGCCCGATTCCAAATAGGCCACGGCGCGGGAATGGGCCTTGGCCCAGGGGTTGGGGAGCCCGGCAATAGATTGCTCCTTGCATTATCATGATACGCCAGAGTCTGTTAATTTTACTTACCTACTTATTACAGTTATTTATATATTACTTTCAGTGCTACATATCTGTTAAGCAATATCATCAATATTATTTCAATAAATAGTATTTAAAAATTTTTTAAAAATTCTGGAATCCTTCAGCTCGGAAAACCAGTAGATATAGGGAACAAAAGATGGTCTAAGATTGTAGATTATGTTAGCCTTATATACCTTTCAGACGTGACCCGTCAAAACCGCGCCCGACTAAGCCGCGCCCGATTAAACCGGGTCGCTGACGTCATCAACAGGGCGACAACAGCCAGCGCGGAGAAAGAGGGGCGCTTTAAATAGCGCTTTGAAAGCAAGCCGATTCAAATTAAGGTAAGGGTTAGGTTTAGGGTTAGGTTTAGGGTTAGGTTTAGGG